TCATATACGTTGGGTAAGGGCAAACCTGTTATATATAATTAGACAGAACTTTGTTGAACAGTTTAACAGTGGCAGTAATTCTGCATCTGTGATGGGCTTTTTTGGGTTTTGCACATAACAGAAAATTAGAGGCTTTGGTTGTAACGACAGCTCGGCTGAGTGGTTAGTGTTGGCTTATGATGTACAGCAGCCTTCTGCAAAGGATGAAAGCGTCAGGCCCACTGATGTTGACGGTACTGGCAAGCATCCAGGGAACAGGCTGGAGTTTATCTCTGTGCCTGTCTGCGGCAAGCGAGAGAGACCGGCCCAAGAATGGAGCAAGTAAGAAGGCCTTCCACTTCCGTGAAATTTTTTCTGAGATACTTCCCGATACTTCAGCATTTTAATTCCAGACCTCTTTTCTAAACAATATACCCAGCACTCTAGAGGAGGGTCGCAGTTAAGAGTTAAGAGTTAAGTTATTTTTCCTCATTCTTCAGGGAGATGCTGCTGCGTCTGATGGGGAATGACACCGTGAAGAAGATCTGCTTTGATGCCCAGGAGATGATCCACACACTGATCTGTAGCTTCAGTCTTGACCATGCAACAGGTCAGTCTGTGCCCTACACCTGTTGTCTGTTTGTCAGCATGTTGAAATTTGAAGTGAAATACTGCATTCCTTGAGCTTCTTGGCTCACTGCTGCATGTTAAACAGCTTCAAGATGTACCTTGCGTCGGGGAGATGTTAATTTTTAATTTGTGATAATGGGTTTTGCCCTTACATTCGAACCCGTGACCTCCTGCTGACTAGTGCAGCCGTGTTACCACTCGATCACTGGCCTTGCTGGGGTTGATTGGCCAGTCCGAGTCATTTGTAGCAGTTGTTGTAGGAAGCTAAGCAGGAGGTCATGGGTTCGAGTCCAACCCGAGTGAGCTTGTGAATTATTTCCAAGCTCTCAGACAAACACTATATATAGTATACAGTGTTATTAATACATACACCTTCTGCATGGGCAAAACCTGTCATTAAAAATTCAGCAGCTTCAGTAGTACTCACTACTCAGCTAGTGGCATTTGGTTTGGGCATTTTATGTTTTTTTCTTTTTCATGAAGTGAGTTCCAATTGGCTGGTGATGGACCCCAAAGTGGCGGCCTGGCTCATCGATGCTGACCATCCGCCAATCACGTTCTCGGATCTTCTCGGCAAGTACTTACCCAACCAAGCCAGCCGATCAGAAACAAGAATGGTAAATGCACGTATTTGTTTGCGGAACCTGTCGCTCGTCAATTGCTCGGTGTTTCTGAGCACACTGTCGCTGAAAAATCAGCTAGTAACTTCTGACCTGCAAGACAAGTTTTGATGTGATGTTGACGTGAATCTTGGATTACAGTGTGTCTATTTGCCTGTTTTCAATTGGTAATTATTACTACAGTGATCCACGGAGCATTACATTTTCCCTTGAAAATCGAATGCTCCATGGAACACCTCGGGAGGCTAGTTTTACGATCATCTTGAAGCAGTCAATGTTTGTTTAATGCGAAGCGTGCTATGTGCGACCAGTCCTCTGGTGATTCTTGCTTGACATTTTCGTATCAATCTTTGGTAAATCATGTTCTTTGACCAAACAAATCCTGGGAATCAGACTTTTTTCCCGTGCAATTTTACAACTGTGTTTTTTTTTTTTGTGCTTTGATGCTTGCGTCTTTGTTAGTGCCTTTTGTCTCGATATTTCTTCTTCCTCTCGAAGTCGTCCACGTGCTCCGACCTTTCATTGCTGGGGGCTGCCATGAAGCGTATGTTCTACATGCTGAGTGAAGCTGGCTTGTGGCAGCTATTCTTACAGGTGGAAATGAGGCTCTGCCCAATTCTGGCAGGTGAATTTGGCTCGCAATTTTTGCATCATTGTAAGAATCTTGCACAGGCTGTCCGGGGCAGGGAATACTATTTTCTCTTTGGTCTCTTAGCTCGTCAGTGGTACAGAATGGGCCTGTTTGTGTCACACGGACCTGGATCTCAATCAGCGATCCTAACGATGGTTCGCAGCATCCACTATGCGGGTTTGGTGTCCGTTTAACCAACAACGGATCGTTGATTGTGATCCAGATCCGTGTGAAACAAACACAGCAAATGCTCCCTGGTCTCTTTTCGGTTGAAGATTCCAGTAGTTACAAGCAGTGCTTGCCTTCAGAGATCCTTTAAATCCGCCAAGATTGGGGCAATCGGCAATTTCGTTTGGAGTGCTTATTATTATATTTATATTTTTTGGTTGGACTTTGCTTTTGAAATGTAGTGATGGAAGTACAAGGGATTTGTGTGAACTCGCAAACTTTGGAAGAATATGGGAAGTTACTTCAGGTATGCACTGACCAGCTGTCTGGCTCTTCTCTTCTTTCTTTATCAATTGGCTTTTTTTCCAGCTTTGGTAAGCTTTTACCAAGTGAGCCTCTGCGCTCAGAAATTGTCAATTTTCAGCCACCATATTGCTCTGGCACGAGCTAACAGGCAAAATGTGTTTACAAGGCAGATAGCCCATGCTAACACGCCCCTCCAGCCATATACATGTAGGCTGAGCTTGGGCGGCTTGTTCTCGTATGATCACGAACAGCTTGATTTGTTGTTCGTGGGTCGGCCGCTCGAACGCCGGAACATACAACTAGTTATTGCTTGTAGTTAGTGACAACCGACACGGAACATGGCAGAGTCCATGTACATGTACGTAATTTGAGAGTTAATGTTTGGATAACTGGGCCGAATTCGTTTCTATTTAAACAAAAGCATTCGTTTCTGTGTTATGGAAAATTATTTTGTTAATTTTGCAAAACTTCCCATTGTCTCTGGCTTTGTTAGTCATCTCTCTACTTTTGCAGCTGTTCAAATCAAAAGCTCACGAGTTTTTACATGTGTTCCCGTAAAACCTTGACAAGGCGGTGGTGTGTGATCCTGTTCCAAGAACAGTGTTCTTGAGTCGTTTTCCCACCGTTTGAGCGCAAGAATAAGAAACCTGTGTCACAAACGGGCTGCCTGAACTCGACCATAGTGAATGCAGCCCTATATCTCCCGTCATTCCCTTTGATCTTTAAATGGAATAGACTTAAGAGGGGGAACCTTCCCAGTGTCAACCTGTCAGGTCCTCTCTTGGTTTCAGAGCAAGAGCCAGCAAGTGGAGAAGGAGGCTCACAAAGCGGCCGGCTGCTGCTTTCAAATCACGAGCCACACTCAGCTGAGACAGGTAAGATGAAGACGGGCTGCAAGACCGCACTCGAGAAATAAAAACATCCCTGCCATTTCATGAGAGTTTGAACATAAAAAATGGTCTTCGAAAAATGAAACCAAAATCGGAGTAAGATTGAAAATGCATTCAGTTTCATATTAGTACCCGAATTATTTGTTTAAATATTCGCAAGTAATGACAAAATCGTAGACTGTGACATCTTGGACCTCAGCCATGGAATTATTGTTGAAGACATAATGCAGGAACCTCTCCATGTAGCTGTGTTTGTGGATGCAGTGACTGAAATGTAGGCCGATTTTTTCTCTGTGGAAAAAGTTGTCCATATGTGAAGGGTCTGAAGAAAAAAACTGATGTAAAATTTGGACATGTTCAATTTTCTAGGTTTTGTTCGAGGAGCTTCAGCTCGACAAGAAGTATCACGGACGGAAGCTCGCCCGGACAAACGTGCTGAACTTAAAATCCACATCAGAAACTGTGGTAAGCCTTGTGAATTAGGGCCTTTTTGTTTCAAGTGGATCCGGATCGCGATCAGTGATCCGATGTTGGTTCACTGACACTAGAACCTGCCTAATGGATAAAGTGAACCGGCTTTGGGATCACTGATTGCGATCCGGATCCATGTGAAATAAACAGGCCCTCACTTAATGTTATAATGAAAGTCAAGATGGCCGTCACTGTGTCATCGTCCACCTTTGTTGGAAATTTCAGCGTTCAAGTTGTAGTCATGGCAATTGTCAACATGAGCCAGGTCGATAGTTTGACAGCACACGCTCAAATTTAAGTCATTGTTGGTCACTCAAGAACACAATTACGGCGCGTGAGATCAACCCTGTCAGCAAGGCTGAAACCTTCTCGCACACTTCAAACTTGTAAGAGCTTGCTTGACGTCAGTTGCTGTGTTCTCGAATGACCTTACCCTTTCAAATTACCAGACCGGCTCACATCACTAATAATTTCATTGGTGTTCGGGGCTTTTTCATCACCGCTGTCAGAGTCGTCTACATTAACTTTCACCATATCACCACAACTTTTCTGCTTGTCTTTTGCTCTTGTTTATTCCACACACTAGTTACTCAAGCTGCAGGACCTGCACCCATTACCCAAATTGGTCCTCCAGTACAGGCAGGTGAGACCTCAACCAATCCCTCATCTACATTTCCACCTCCCCGACTCCTTTTCACTCTTGATAAATTTTGTGGACCAGTGTTGGTATTGGAGTCCATCACAAGTCCTTTCACCGGTCTGTTCACAAGTCCCTTCACTAGCCCAGCCACAAGTCCCTTCACAAGGCCAGTCACAAGTCCCTTCACAAGGCCAGTCACAAGTCCCTTCACCAGTCACAGGGTGAGCAATGACAAAGGAACACTTCAGTCACAGTTCTTGTGACCAGCTTGTGATCTGCTCAAAACTGGACATTTCGCGGGGGACTTGTGATGGACGTGCATGTGACAGACTTGCGATGAGCTTGACTACAAGGCTTCACTCAAACCCACATCACATGTCCACTTTTTCTGAGTAGACTCGGTTTGGTGTTTATTACTACACATGATTTTTTTAAATTTAAAACACATATTTTCTAAAAGTGTCTGCTGCAAGTTACACCTGTTGTTACAAATTAATCTGTATATATTAGTAGTGTACATCAGCTTTCATTGATCGTGTGGTGCAATGTATAATGTATCCATGGAGCGTTATTAAAGTTACCATGTAAACCCTGATTATTAACAAAGGAATATTTAGAATAATTTGGAATAAATTTATGATGAAAGGCAGAGAATAATAACATTCTTCCAGTAGCCAGCAGTAAGTGTCTTACAATATTTACAAATAAACTTTAGGCATTTCTTTTTTACATAGAGATAACTATTAATGATAAATAAAAGATTGCACAACGTCATTTAAGGCACAATTGATCTAGTAGTTTTGTTCCCAAAAATTTGTCCGTTTATAAGTAAAACTTGTAATGTGGACCAACTGAAAATTAGAATGTTTGAGTCCAAGTATTCTACAACTGGAGTAAATTTTCGACTAAGCCATTCAAATCTGTTATCGAGCTACACAAAATTTACAAAACTTAAAAGTTACAGGGCCCAACATTTACACACTCCTTCTCAATGCTGGTATTGCATCAACACAGCTAACTCAACAGTTTGGTGATTTCTCTATGTTATACATAATATTTGCATTCGTATAGTTAACATTTCAAACACGTAAAACACCAACGCACATTTTTAATTTGTAACGAACATTATCACTTAACTAAATAACATCCAACTGTATCAACATAGCAACAACGATTTTCTGTTTCACCATTTTAAACTGAACACTAACAACTACTCTTATGCATGTTACCCATTGTGAGAAATGGGATCCACCATTCCAGAAACCAGGCTGGAGACTTACAGGCTATAATCTCGGAAATGACACTAGTCTGAATTTTCAACATTGCAACTTTGACAACTTTCATTGCCCGGAACTGCTGTCGTTTTCAGCAGACAAATTGTTTTGCTTTCGGATCCCTGTGAGATGTGAAAAACTGAAAGCTGGAGAGAGTAATTTGCTAGGCACTGAGCTTGCCGTCTTCAGCCTTGTTTTGGAATGGCGGGCCACAAATTTAAAGATAAAAACAATTAGAACTTTAGTATAAAATCTCTACAGTGTACATAAATTTCAGCCATTTCTTGGCTCAGTCATTATAGATGGCTTGCAAGTAATCATTTTCAAATATCAATGCTTGTTATTGTAAATAAATGGTTTTACAAGTTTTTAAGCATATCTTTACTGAAGTATACTCTTATGTACAGACGTTACGTAGTTGTTCAGTAGCCCTGTCGTCTAACTGAATCGTAATGTTAACTTAAAAGTCTGGTTTAAAGTCAACGTAACTTGAGCTTTCAAAATTGCAAAAGGGGCAGTACTTTTTCATCACAGGTCAGTAATTGTTGTTTTTTCAATTGGGATGATAACAGCTCGCCAAGCTCAAATCCACCTATGTTGACGGAATCTTGGACTGCATTGAAGATGTGAGTAGAGAAGATGGGTAACCGCTTGTTTATTAAAGAAAAGAACATTCTTAGTGTTACTTAATTAAAGACCAAAACAAGCATTGTCTTTAGAAATAGTCTCAAAATCTTTTATCATGTAAACAACCTATTTAATTAAAATGTTAAAAAATGAAATACTAACCAAGTGATTGAGCAATTAACTACATGACAAAACAGTGGGAGATTTTGAGACGCTTGGTGGCGGCAAACATACTGGTCCTTTGTAGCACTTCTGAGCATGCGCATGTAGTTTTTGAGCATGTGTGATACTACAAAAAGGGACTGGTGTGTCTCCTGCCACCAGCGTCTCAAAGTCTCCCATTGTTATTGGAGTAGTACCAAAGGAAAAACTTGCCACACCCACTTGTTCAAAGGTATAGGGTAAGGGAAAGGAAATTTTGTGACCCTCCTGCTTTAACATATCATGCAGAGACCTGAAAATTCCACCGGAATGCCTGTTTGTGGCCAGCTCTGCCAAAATGAGTCACGTGTCTCCAGAGCCACTTTTGAGTTAAAGGCCTTTGAAAAAATCTTGCACTGTGTTTAAGCAATAGGAATCCTTGGGATTTTAACATCTACACAACATCCATGCTCACCACACCAAACTGAGTGACACATCAAAAGACCTCAACTTCCTCAATGTAATAATAAGTAAAACTCTAAAGTGGCTCATGTGACTCAAGACTCATTTTTGTGGAGTGGGTCACATCATACATGCAGGTATTGTTTGCCGATCCAAGCCATTCTATTTTGTGTAACGCTCAACCGCCTCTGGTTCATAGCAATTTTCTGCCCTGTCTGCCTCTAGGGCTGCATACATACAAGCTGGGAGCATACTGTTGCTGCTACCGGCCGCTTGCAGTCGGCTGAACCTGTAAGTGGTCTTCAAACATTTCTCTTTTTGTATCTGTGCTATGATTTGGTGAAATGCGCCAAGGCTCATTGCTTGAATGAAGCGGGGATAACATACAAAGTGCGCTACTTTTAAGGGGTTGTTGACTGTTTCTAACATGAATTGATTTAAATATTAATGTGGTCCATTGTGGATTGAAGAAGACAACGCTGGACTTTTATTTTTCATGAGAGCCAGATGAGGGCCAGTGAAGTTTATTATAAAGTTGGTTAGCAACGCCAGTGTGCTTAAGCTGCTTGTTTTTAAAAAAAATGTTTGCAAGTTGTTAGGTTCAAAGGGTGTTTTTCTTCAATTTGCAGAACATCCAGAATATCCCTAAGCAGCCCGTTCTTTTAGATTCTGATGGGACCCAGGCAGATACCAGAGGGACGGGTAATGTCATCATCCTGGCCAGAAAGCCGTTTGTCAGCCGCAACGACTGGTCGTTCATTGCCGCAGGTAAAAAAAATGAATTCATGAATATACCCCTCAGAAGCTGTGAAAATGGATTGTACAATGTATATGTGGTTGTTTTCCATACGCGACCTGGTACATCGCAATCAGCAATAAATCGCTGAGGCCGTTTTATGTAATGGCGGAGTAAATTTGGGGATGTGGGTAGATGTTGAAAAAATTGACGTGGCAACTTCTGTATAATTTTGTAAGTGTACGTATGAAAGGTTACCATCGACACACTTGTAATATTTACCATTTGAAAGCTTATGAAATTCTCTTTCTGACCATGTAAAGAGTCAGTTTGAGACTTATTCCTGATGTACTGGGTCACATATTGACACGTGCAGCTATAGTACATCACACCCCCGTGCTCCTTAATCATAGCAGCATTCTACTGTTCTTCAAGCATGTGTGTACCCACTTTGTGTTTTCAGGTGATAGTAACATTGACCATTTACCATGCTTGCTTTTGCTGTCTGTGTGATTCATCCAAAGTAGGCAATTCCTCTTCTTTAAAAGAGGTATATAATGTTAATAGGACTATGAAAATTGTACATTTATGCTACATTAGAAGATGCCTCTTTTGATCTAAAAACTGTCATTGGCTGGGATTTCTGCTGTGGGAAATTTAGTTGTGGCACTGCAGGGTGCTTTAGTGTTACAGATGTGCCTTTTAGTGACTTTGATCCAGACATGTTGCTTTTTCAAAGCGACCAGTTTGAACATTGGCTTAAAAAGTACACATTTTGTGATACTTTTTTGTGAGCGTTCGGCTCTAAACTGTTTAAACTATTCACTAATAAAGCAGGGCTTACAGAAATAAATTTAGCAACACTTCAAAGTGTGGATGATGCTCTTGTAGGCATCGTACAGGACCGCTCTGTGGTCGCTCTGTCTGTAAGTCAGAAACAGCGCCCCCAAGATCATTTGTAAGAGGGAAATAGTCGCCACAACGCAAAATGTGACAGACAGGGTCCTTGCCAGGTCAATCCTAAAAGTGACAATGTTGACAAGCACAAGGGTGGGCAACCATGCAACAATGATTGTGGCAAAGTAGGCGCGGATGTAACCGGTTGACTTTGAGGAACGTTTTTGCCGGGGGCGCGGCAGATTTGGATTTTCCTTGACCCCAGTGCTCCCAACATTGAATGCTTCTGTGGCTACCCTGCGCTGTTGGTTTCTGGCAGTGCGGCCGAGCAGGACCACAAATGCTATGAGTGCCAGCAAGCATGGCAAAGACGTGAGATCCAACACTGATGTTACTTTGATAAAGAATGCCTGACTTGTGAGGATGGTAATTAGTCGAATGTAGTCATCTTGAAAGTCATCTAAGAGGGCTGCATATAAGCCTACATTACTTGCAGCTATCACAACCCATACGGCAATAATAACCCAAGCGGCAACTTTGTTGCTCATCAGTCGCAGGTACTGCATGGGCCTAGCAATTTTAAAATATCTGTCAGCAGCTACAACTGCAGAATTCAAAAAATACCCAGTGATAGTCACAAAAGTCGTGGAGGTGAGCAGCACCGAAGGATGCTTTAATTGAGGAGACGAATCGTCCACTGTACTCAAGATAGTTAGAGTGACAATGCAAGCAAGTTCTTCGACAAATAGACTCACCAGGAAATAGTTGGATTGACTGCGGAGCCGAGGGCTGAAAACTATGGAGAGGATGATCGAGAGGTAAATTGGGCAGACAATTATGGCGATGGTAGCAACAGCCAAAACGAACATTGGATAAGATTGTGTTATAAGAGGATTGTTGGTGCTGAATGACTCATTAGTCTCCATTCCAGCAAAGTTACACTGGGCCACAGTGTCTTTGTAAATTCCAGGCTGTCTTGCAGAGGTTCTTCTTTCCTCGTTCTTTTCCTCCTCGTGTAGTTTTCTGGGCGATGGAGAGCTCTCTGAAATGCCAGTTACATGTTCTGAGTTTTGCAGCATTCAGATTCACGGTGAAATTGTTTGCAGGGAGGGTGGCCTCAAATTGAGTAGTACTCCCTCTTGTTGAAGTATCAGGGAGGATACTCATAATGGTTAATGTCACTGAAACACCAGCTAACACTGCCATTTGGATTTGCAGGCTTCTTTGAGTTACAAAGTCGCTGAATCCATTTTAAGGGTTTCACTTTTCCACCATATTTTAACAGATTGTGGTTGTCAAGCTGTGTTTAGAACATGCCCAATCTAAACAACATCCACAGCAAAACACGTGGTAAACATTGAGTTTCAAATTTTTTTGTGCTGGGAGCTGCCTGTGGGTTTTGTCATTTGACTCACCGTCGATAAGTTAAAAAATCACAAGTTTGTGCAACTTCACGAGGACAGCTGTTGACGAAGACAATATATTAGTTCTCCAAATCATGGCTGTTGTCGTGGCCGAATGGGCGAGGAACAACCAGCAAGTGTTCTCTGCATTGTTGCTGCCGATTTCTCTCTTCTCAGTCTCAACTGTCTGCTGAGCAGCAGTTTCTCCCCAATAACTCTGCCTGTCTCAGGCTTCCATCTGAGTGGATCACTGCCGTTGTTGCACAGTGCTTTTTTCCCAATTAGTGCCATCATCGATGACACTGAATGATGTGATTGGCTCTCTGCCAGCAGGTACTCGTAATTTGAGAGCAGGCACAGGCATGGCAAGATGTTAAATGAGGAATTAAAACTGACAGTTTGCATACTGACATTCCGACTAATGGACTGACAGACCCATTAAGAACTGTCAGTTATGACTGTGATGGGAGAAATATTAACCTGACTTACCCAAACTCTAAACTGTGACAGTTTCAGTGAGGTACCAGCAGTGCAAAAAGCCCAGTCTTGCTGTTTTTCAATTATGGAATGCATTTATGATTAGGTCTGTGTAGTTTCATTGTTGACCAATGAAATAAGGCTACTGACTTATGAATATTCATTAAACATGACATTTGCAAAATTGTAAATTGATTGTTGGTTTTTTTTACAGCCATTGGTTCCATTTACTATAAATATTCATATGACTTGGTTGAATACAGATATATATGCATGTCTTGACATTACTTTACACATCATTTAACATTTTGTGATAATCTTTTCTGTTGTCCCCCATTGATGTTAATTTTTAGAGCTCCTCGTAGCTTTAAGGTTTGATTTAGCCAGCAAAACTTCACTGCAGTGTGAGTTGGGTCAGGTGGGCAAGTCAGGAAGACTATTGCCATAAAGACTTTACTTGCTTTAGACTGAAGTCTTTAGAAAAATAGATTTTTTACGTGGCAAATTGATTTTTCTTCAAAATGGCTTGGCCTCGCCTGGTTAGCATGTGTAGCATGTGCGTAAAGGGTCGTTCTATGAATTTGGGTTCTGAAGTGTGAAATTTTTTATGGAACAATATTTGTTTTAAAGTTACATGTACCACGTTGTGCCATATGTAATTGGCAATTGGAAACATTTGGACCACAAATTTAGGGCAGGCCCCTACAGTTTATGCTGAAACCTACCCAGTAAGAAAGCAGATCGTCTGTTCAAGGGCAGGTCGTTGGATTCTAAAGCAATTTCCATCATCGACCTTTGAACATGTTAGTAATGGTTTTGAATGCATCACGCAGAACCTGTCGGTGCTCCTGTTGGGTGTAAGTTAGAAACAATGCCCCCAGGATCATCTGCGACATGGAAAGACAGCACTGAATGGTGAAAGCCACCCAAAGTAGATCTGTCACATTTTGTAATTGGAAAGCAAGGACATTGGTGAGGACTACAGTTGGTAACCATGCTACAATGATCGTGGCAAAGTATGCGCTCATGTACCACATTGACTTTGACGAACGCCTGTTGAGGGGCTGCCCTTGCTTCTGATTTTCATTGGTTGCTGTGTTTGCGCAAGTGACTACATTGGCTGCTATCTTACGCTGTTGGGCTCTCGCAATGCGAACCAGTGTGACTAAAAATATCAGGATTGCTGTCAAACAAGGAAACACGATTATGTCTGTTAGGACAGCCAGCCCTGTGACAAATGCCTGGCTTGTTAAGGACTTCCCCAGAGAACTAAGACTCCAGTCAGTTTGTGCCAGGGCAGTGGTAAATGCAATCAGAAGGATAAGGATCATAAGACTCCACACAGCCAGGATAACGTAGGCGCACACTTTATCGGACATCAGTCGCATGTACTGCATGGGTTTGGCAATTTTGAAATATCTGTCAGCAGCAACAATGGCCGAATTCAGGAAATACCCTTGAATAGTTATGAGTCCGATACACTTGTACAGCTCAAACAAAACGTTCACATCAGTAACCACAGTGAACTGGTTAACAGTGAGAGTTATCACCACGATGCAAATAAGTTCATCGGCAAATAAGCTCAAGAGAAAATAGTTGGACTGGCACCGAAGCCTGTGACTGAGAGCCACCGAGAAAATGATCCAGAGGTAAACGATGGAGATGGTTGCAGCAGCAATGGTGATACACACCCTTGCTGAAAGAGGAACAGTTAGATCAACAGGTGTCGGGGTGCTGAAAGTATCATTTGGCTCCATGGCCAGTCCCTGCTAATTCCGAGAACAGATACACCACGTGAAAACGATGTTTTTGTCATCCAGTTTAAAGCATTCCATGGAGCTGCTGAGTCTTAAGAAACAAGCCAGGGAACTTGACCAGCTGCACCTGTGCAATCCACTGTGGGAACGTACCATGCAAATTTGGATTGTGGTGGCTGCAGCACATTTGCAAGCCAGAAGAGTCTGTCGTGATCATTGCAGTCTTCCTTTGTAACCCGACTGTCATCTGAAATATCGGTACAACAGGTACTGGCTGGCACTGTCCGAAAGTAATTTCCCAATTACAGATTGTAATCACGATCGTGCATTCTGATATCTAAAGTTCTCTCTAAAGTGAATCACGTCATTCTGCCACTCTATGGTCTTTTCTTGTTAGATTTCTGTAGTTCTCAGTGGATAGGTTGAGTCTTTTGAAGCCCAGCCACAGCAGTAGAGAGTTCTGTCCTCTGGGAATTGTGATCAGACAAATTTGATGAC